TCTGTTGTATCACTAATGTCCACACTGCCCTAGACTTAATTAAAAATAGGGGGTTTATTGCCGAAATCTTCTTGAAGATGTTACCGGGAGTCTGTGTTTGTAAGTGGCTTAGCTGTGGAAGTGCAGATGAATTAACGACGTATAATCCAAATCGCCTCACGCTCATGGCCAGCGTGAAGGCCATGTAAAACTTACTGATTGGCCAAATGTATCCGCTACACATGACGTTGCTCTGTTTCCCCTCCAACTCCGTCTACTCACCGTTGAGCGATTCGATTAACCCATGATAATGATCTCGGCATGAGGGTACCCTAACTTCTTCGCATGGATTTCGTTGGGAGCTGAATGATAGATGAGCACAACCTGTAAACCGAATTTTGTTTGTAAAACAGACGGACTGTCTTTAATCTGGCAAAAAATTGCCACTGGACTGATGATGTAAGCGTGGGCCTGAGTCCTGTTGGGTTTCCAACCCGGGTAGTCAGTGAACAATGGTTTCGGTACAAGCGCTTTTATGCGTCGCCGCGTATGAACAACAACAACGGTGTGACAGATGGGGGTGGGAGGGAGGCGGTGAAGACTGCTGTAGAAAGGCCGGGCGCTTTCAAACACACATTTATAGTGCTTGATTGACTTTGCCTGTATGGTAGACATTAACTACTGAGGAGCAGCTGAGAGGACAACATTCTTGAATGCTTGCGAGTTAGCTACGGAAGTGAAAATATCTGCAAAGTTGAAACAGAAACGTCTTCCATTCGATTTCACCGTTGTTTTTATTTGCGCCCAAGAATGACGGAGAAGAACACTTCCATCACCCCTTTTGACACGATCACCACACTGGAATTTTCTTTACATTTTTGGGCTGATAGTTGGTAATCTAGCTCCTAACTTTCGTCATTTGCCAGCAACTGCCCGCCTCCCTTCCTCACTACGCAGATGGCTGAGCAGACACCGCAGGATTGGTGATTGTATCGAGTGAATCTGCTCGTTCTTCCCCATTGCAGGGAGTTAAGCCCTATATTTAAACACAGGCCAAATAACTCATTTTGTCGGTAAGAAGTAAAGTTGCTAAAATTAGGGCGGTTAATTGAATCAGTGAGGCCTTTAGCACTAGGTTTGATGCCTTTGTACTACTACTGAGCTCAGATGAGTAGCGTGCTGAGATCTATAACCTGGCCAGTAGATCCAATCCGCAAACCTGGGCCTGCCCGCCTCCCTGTCCCATAATTGCGGT